ATATTACTTTTACCACCTAGTTATTGCTCCTTAAAGGGCAATGTACAAACACCATTGTGCAATGACTAATCACATGCACATAGATATATAAACGACTTGTTGGATTTACTGTGTTAAATACTATCATTTTCTATTAAGTATGGATTTCCTATTCAGAAGGCAAAAGTGGCCAATAATCAAGTTCTCCTCCACCTTTTCTTCCATCCTTTTCTTCCTTTTCAAGAGCCAATAATGCTTACCTATTTCATCATTCATCAAATATGGAACTCTTGGTCTGACAAGTTACATTCAGTACCATTGTTACAGCTATGCAGACACATTTTCTGAGATAGGTGTGGAGATGTATTGCATTATACAAGAACAACAAACCCTCCTGGCCTACAGGCTACACACCAAATTTTGGATACCTAAATGCCACAAAATACACACTGCTCACCTCAGAAAACCTCAGAGAAGGGATTTTCAGAAAGCTGAACAGCAACAGTTCCCATTTTGGGATGTCACTGCTTTACCTTTGCTGCAGATTAGGATATCCAGAAAAAAACAGAAGGCCTTTCTGGTTTGTTTCCTTCCTCCCACTGCTATGGCTGAATGTACCTCACAACCCTACACCATGAGAATCTCAACTGTGTGTCGCAAAAGAAGCCACACTTGAATTGCATTCAGAGTCACTGACTGAATATCAGCATCTTTAAATGTTTACATAGCAAAGATAAATATGTCCCAATACAGAATAACCCCAAAATAATATCCTCTAATCCCTATATACAAAATCAAAACATTTTTCTCTACAGCACTGTAAGAGGTCCAGCACAGATAGAAATACATAAAGCAAAGGGAAGTGCTGCATAGATAGATAGAAATCCCTCATAGTACCATGTATTTAACGACCACTAAGTGAGCACAGCTCACTGCACACTTGTCTTACAACACACCTATTCTCTCAGTTTATTAGGCACTAACAACCTGGTAAAAGAGATTAATAATAAACCCTTAATTAATTTTTTATGCCCAAATTACATACCAAATACAAATCTATTTCAGTTCCAAGAAGGAACTTAAATACACGAGCAAAATGGTTTAAATAGTTGTCTAAAGCAAATTGTGACATTTTCACCACTCAAACACAGTCATCCTCCAAATCTGCTCTCCCAGACCTCTCACTGAAAACTTTTCTTTTTAAACAACCACGGTATGTGATAACCCACCTCAATTAAAAAATCAACACATAATCAAACGCAGCAGGGCCTGCATTTCTTGTAGTTTTACCTACACGGGAAGGCACCCCCGTCAGCGGCACAGCGGCGTCTGCACAGCGGAGCTCCGGGACAGG